CACCCAGTTGCTGGACTGGAGCTGGAAAGAGTTTCAGGTTCAGGGCTTTGGGGGTCTAGAGTTATGTGGTTCACGGTTTGGATCCGTCGAGTATCACATGGCTGCGTTGGGGTCCTTGCTTTTCGGGGTCGGGGCAAGCAATTTTTCTAAACATTCGCAGGGCTGTGATTGCAGAGGAGAGGTAGCCATTTTCGTACCCATTTTTGCATGTTACGTAAGGCTGCTTTACAGATCAACACTTCATCTGTAATTCCCATTGCAACCGAGGTTTTTTTCTCTTTCGCCGTGGTGGGGACCTTCTCGACAGTTGGCACGGCGCAAATGAGAACAAGCTGAAGGAGCACCTGTCCCCGTACTATGATTAAGAATTCGTATTTGGGCGCCTCTTCACAAAGAGAGGACCATCGTGCAGTTTTATCGTGCTCTGAAGCAGCACAGTTGAGAAATGGCTCAATCACATGGGTTGTGCCAGGCTGGTCTGGGATTCCCCAGACAAATTTTTCCGAGCTGGGAAGGAAACGTATCGCTGTGGTCAAAAACTGGGCTTGTTGTTCTTTCCCTCAATGGCATCCTTGCTGATTGCAGGCATTTCGCAGCTTCCTCCCTAGCTCTAGAGCAACATGCGTTAGGCGCTGACAGGCGGATGGACCACTTGTCATTGCGCAACGCATGTGCAAGCCGCCTCAATGCAAGCGGAATTGGTTTCTAGTATCTATCTTTTCCAGCTTTCGATCATGCCACAACGAGCGTTTGCATCACGCATAGTAGCCATCACTGACAAGAGTGCTGTGCTTGGCTTTCCGGCAGAGCCTCAGTATATTTTGCTTCAGTCACACAGTCACGCAGTCGTCCAGGGCCAAAATCAGACAGTCAAATTCGTGCATCCTGGTTACTAATTAGGCAGGCCTTTGGGATGTGTTGTATTTCCCCTTTCTGGGTTAATTTGGCCAGGACCCAAAACCCAAAACCCAGAACCGCAAACCCTAAACCTGTTGGCACTGTGTATACTGAAGGGAGAAAGCAGCCGCCAACATCGTCATTTGTTAGTGGAGAGGGCTTGTGGTTTAGGGTGTGGGGCTGGGTTTAGGGCTGTGAGGCTGGAGCATATCGGGTTTCGGGCTTCGGTGTTCGGGCCAGGGTTTAGGGCTTAATTAGGGCTTGTTAGTGTTTAGGGGGCTAGGGGGCATAGGGGCTTAGGGTTTCGGGCTCACATGCAGAAACTGTTGAACATGTTTCGGCTTTCGTGAAAACAAAGAGGGCTTAAGGGTCAGGTTTTTAGGGTTTCGGAGTTCAGGGCTTCGAGGGTAGGATGTATTCGGGTTTAGGGTTTAGGGTTTAGGGTTTGGGGTTTAGGGTTTAGGGTTTAGGGTTTAGGGGTTTTGCGTTTAGGGGCTATGGGTTTAGCTTGTGGGGTTTGGGGTCTACTCTGCTGTGTGCGCCAGTGCATGAGGCCCACGATGGCCAGAGAGTAAACGGCTGGCGCGGGCCCTTCCAACGAGTGTTACACCAGTGTTTAGGGTTTAGGGTTTAGGGTTCAGGGTTTAGGGTTTAGAGTTTAGGGTTTGGGGTTTGGGGTTTGGGGTTTAATTAGGGTTCATTGTTTAGGCTTTAGGGTTCAGGTTGCAGGGTTTGTGGGCCACATGCGGTTTACGGTGTTCAGGCTTGTGGTTTAGGCTGTGGGGCTGGGTTTAGGGCTGTGAGGCAGTGGCAAGGGGACCAATTAGGGTTTAGGGCTTAGGGGTTAGGGCTAGGGGGCGTAGGGGCTTAGGGTTTCGGGCTCACATGCAGAAACTGTTGAACATGTTTCGGCTTTCGTGAAAACAAAGAGGGCTTAAGGGTCAGGTTTTTAGGGTTTCGGAGTTCAGGGCTTCGAGGGTAGGATGTATTCGGGTTTAGGGTTTAGGGTTTAGGGTTTAGGGTTTGGGGTTTAGGGTTTAGGGTTTAGGGTTTAGGGGTTTTGCGTTTAGGGGCTAAAACCCTAAACCCTAAGCCCTAAGCCCTAAGCCCTAAGCCCTAACCCCTAAACCCTAAACCCTAAACCCTAAACTATCCCCAAGCCCTAAATCCCCCAAGCCTCTGAGGCTTGAGTTTGAGACCGCCGGGGCTCTTGCGAGCCGATGGGGTGCAGGATTCTGGAGGCTGGGTTTGGGGTTTAGGGTTTAGGGTTTAGGGTTTAGGGTTTAGGGTTTAGGGTTTAGGGTTTAGGGTTTAGGGTTTAGGGTTTAGGGTTTAGGGATAGGGTTTAGGGTTGAGGGTTGAGGGTTTAGGGTTTAGGGTTTAGGGTTTAGGGTTTACGGTTTATAGGGTTTAGGGTTTAGGGTTTAAGGCTTAGTTAGGGTTTCGGGTTCAGGGTTTTGGGTGTAGAGTTCAGGGTGTGCATCGGTATACGCGTGCGTGGAGTGTGCCTTTTCTTTAGACTTAGGGTTTAGGGTTTGGGGTTTGGGGTTTGGGGTTTAGGGTTCGTTTAGAAGACTCATGGCTTGTGCCGCTGAACTGTTCAGAATCCAGGGAATCAGGGTTTAGCGGTTTAACTTATGGTTGATGTTTAGGGCTTATACAGACGAGGACGTTAGTTTTTTTGGTGGCTTTCGGGCGTTGGGGCTTTAGGGCTTCGGGGGTTAGGGGTTTTGGGGTTAGGGTTGAGGGGGTTCATGGTTTAGGGTTTAGGGCTTGGGGTTATACAGTGGGCTTTAGGCGGCTTGTGCCTAGTGCGCTCAGATTCGGTTCGGGAGGCTTGTTCGAGCTTGCGGGGGGTTTTGGGTGCGGATGGGCTGAGGGCCCCTAAGCCGAAAACCCTATACCCCAAACCCTAACCCGTAAATCCCAAATTCCAAACCCTAACCAAAGGCCCTAATTGCCCTAACAAGTGGTCTAATTACTACTAGTATTCCCTTATGGTCCCTTTGTACTTCTGCTAGAGTAACCCCCCAAAACCCTATTCTAATCATTCAGGCCCCTATGTTAAGGCCCCCCTAAACCCTAAACCCTAAACCCTAAACCCCAAACCCCAGACCCTAAACCCCAAACCCCAAACCCAAACCCTAAACCCTAAACCCTAAACCCTTAACCCTTAACCCTTAACCCTAAACCCTAAACCCTAAACCCCCGACCATCGGTGGGAGGATCCCGAACGGCGGAATGGACGGCTTCCTCGTCGTCGGCATCAACAACATGGCCACGGGCTCCAGATTCGGGGGTGGGTTCCGGGTTTAGGGTTTAGGGGTTTAGGGTTCAGGGTTTAGGGTTTAGGGTTTAGGGGTTTAGGGTTTAGGGTTTAGGGTTTAGGGTTTAGGGTTTAGGGTTTAGGGTGAAAGCTTAAAACCTTAGGCAGCGCCTTTCATCTAGTGGCTGTTTGCATGAGCCATTGGAGAGGTTACGACAGTGAGCTTGATGAAAGAAGTCAAGTGCAACACTTCCGTTGCTAAACCCTAAACCCTAAACCCTAAACCCTAAACCCTAAACCCTAAACCCTAAACCCTAAACCCTAAACCCTAAACCCTAAACCCTAGACCCTAGACCCTAAACCCTAAACCCTAAACCCAGTTGAATCAATTAGCCAGAAGAAGGCAAAAAAACACATCTCGTGGTGACCGGTACTGGCAATGGTCACACATGAAACTCCCATGAACATCGTCTGACAACCATATGAAGATCCTACAAGGAGCAAAGCAAATCTGTGGTTAGCGCTTCAGAAGCAAGAAGTCCGTTAATGCAACAGGCTCATGAACTAGCTCTAGGATCAGAGTAGGGCCTTGTTCCCTTTTGTTGGGGTTTAGGTTCCCTTGTAAGCCCCTTTAAACCCAAAAAATGGTACCCTTTTATTCCTAGGTTACTCTTGGGTCTCGAGCTTCTTTGCTCTGAGAACTAGCTCATCAGACTCATCTTGCCGCCCGAGGGATCACAAATGCGGTTGATTGCCTTCTCTGGGGTATTCTGGGGTTGGTCACGCACCCACGAACTCAACCTCGAACCCTAAAGCCCTCAACCCCAGAGTTTAGGGTTTAGGGTTTAGGGTTTAGGGTTTAGGGTTTAGGGTTTAGGGTGTAGCGTTTAAGGTTTAGCCCAAAGGTTTGGATTCAGGGCCTTCGGAGGTGGGTTGAGGGCTCTGCAACCCTAAGCCCGACACCTCTTCTGGGCCTCAGCAAAGCTGAGCCCGAAACTTTGCTAGCTTAAAACCCTAAACCCCAAATCGTAAACTCTACAACCCTAAACCCTAGACCCTAAACCCTCCAAGCCTCGTGCTTGGGAAGTGTCTGGGATTTAGCGTCTCCGGGGCCTTTGGGACGGAGCTTACGAAGCTCCAAAAGCATCCGACCAGAGTATATAGCGGGTTTACGGGTTTAGGGTTTAGGGTTTAGGGGTTTAGGGTTGAGGGGTTTAGGGTTGAGGGGTTTAGGGTTGAGGGGTTTAGGGTTAGGGGTTTAGGGGTTTAGGGTTCAGGGTTTAGGGTTTAGGGTTCAGGGTCTAGGGTTTTGGGTTTAGGGTTCAGGGTTCAGGGTTTAGGGTTTAGGGGTTTGGGCAGGGCTTAGGGCCTCATCGGGTTTATAAGGCTTACAGTGATGACAGAGGGTATAGGGGCTGACACTCCTAAACTGCCAGTTAGGATTACAACCTTAGGGGTCCGAGTATGACTGCTTGAGTAAGGGCTTGCACCGTTTCATCCGCCTCATGACCCCTAAACCGTAAACCCTAAACCCTAAAACCAAAACCCCAAATCCCTAAACCCTGAACCCTAAACCCTAAACCCTAAACCGCAAACCCCAAACCCCAAGCCCTAAACCCTTACTTCCGCCGCATGACCTTGACCTGCTGTTAGGATGGAATGTTATGTTCTGCGTCTGGGCAAGGACAGCACACCAACTTCGAGACACGTCTCAACAAATATCTCCCTTGGCCATTTTTTTACTTTTGTTTATATAAACCACAAGAGGATATTCACAAAAAAGGGGAGTATAGATTCAGTGAACTTACACTGTGCAGCATTCCTGTGGGAGCATTCCATGTCTCTGGCGGCCACACCTGCAAAGCACAAAGTGCTCTGCATCGTCAGCCTGCATGTCTTGGTGCTCGCCCTCGTACGAGGGGATGGCCCTGTGAGCTGCGCGGGCGGCTGGGCGTTGATAGGAGACAGGTGCTTCCACTACAGTGCTGAGGAACGAAATTACGACGATTCTGTCGCGTACTGCCATTCACTCGGGTCCGTGATTGCCAGCATCCACAGCGAAACGGAGAATGAGGCAGTGACCGGCTTGATTCCTACTGGAGACGGCAGATCTGCCTACATCGGGGCAGAAAGCAATGGCCACTGGGTAGCCCAGTGGTACCCCTTTTCCCTTTTTTGGTTCAAGGTTCCCTTAAAAAGTAGCCAACCCCCAAAGGGATGCCCTCATAATGAGATGGTTACTGGGCTCCCAAGGCGCGCGTGTGTGGAGCTGGTATGATGGCACCGAATGGTGGCAGCCTGCAGTACATGGTGGTCTCGACGGAGTGAGCGAGACTCGCGTGGTCATCAATGACAAAGCGCGTGACGATCGGAAGTGGCATGACTGGCTAACCGGTGATGTCCCGCACGGAGTGCTTTGTGCTGCCTCCTTTCGAAGCATTGTAACAGCGATTCCGCCCACAGCATGCTCTCCATTTTGTTGGAGCGGATGGTCTTTGATAGAGGAGAGGTGCTTCCTCTACAGTGATCAAGAACGCAGCTACAACGATTCCGTCACGTATTGCAGGTTACTCGGATCCGTGATTGCCAGCATCCACAGTGAAACTGAGAATGCCGCAGTGACCGCCATGATTCCAGTTGGAGTCGGCAAATCTGCCTACATTGGGGCAGAAAGCAATGGCGCCTTGGTAGCCCAGTGGTACCCCTTTTCCCTTTTTTGGTTCCCTAAACGGGTGCCCTTGGGTTACTTGGCTACCAAGGCGAGGGAGTGTGGAGCTGGCATGATGGCACCGAATGGTGGCAGCCTTTGGTACATGCTGGTCTCGACGGATGGAGAGAGACTCGCGTGGTCATCAATGACAAAGCGCGTGACGATCAGAAGTGGCATGACTGGCTAACCGGTGAAGACATGCACGGAGTGCTTTGTGCTGCTTCACTGCAGACAGTTGTTTACTCACCGTCGCTCTGCCCAGCTGAATCGACTCCCGCTCCAGATAGCAGCAGCGCTGTAGCAGCAGCACTGGGGCCGGCAGCACTGGGGCCGGCAACAGCTGCGGCGATCCTTTCGCTGCAGCTGGCCCTCTGATCGACGCAGATACCTCATGCCCCTTGCGCAGACTAGGGGTTTAGGGTTTAGGGTCTAGGGTCGAGGGTTTAGGGCTTGGGGTTTAGGGTTTAGGGTTTAGGGTGTAGCGTTTAAGGTTTAGCCCAAAGGTTTGGATTCAGGGCCTTCGGAGGGGCTCTGCAACCCTAAGCCCGACACCTCTTCTGGGCCTCAGCAAAGCTGGGCCCGAAACTTTGCTAGCTTAAAACCCTAAACCCCAAATCGTAAACTTTACAACCCTAAACCCTAGACCCTAAACCCTCCAAGCCCCCAAACTCCTCGTGCTTGGGAAGTGTCTGGGATTTAGCGTGTCCGGGGCCTTTGGGACGGAGCTTACGAAGCTCCAAAAGCATCCGACCAGAGTATATAGCGGGTTTACGGGTTCAGGGTTTAGGGTTTAGGGGTTTAGGGTTGAGGGGTTTAGGGTTGAGGGGTTTAGGGTTGAGGGGTTTAGGGTTAGGGGTTTAGGGGTTTAGGGTTCAGGGTTTAGGGTTTAGGGTTCAGGGTCTAGGGTTTTGGGTTTAGGGTTCAGGGTTCAGGGTTTAGGGTTTAGGGGTTTGGGCAGGGCTTAGGGCCTCATCGGGTTTATAAGGCTTACAGTGATGACAGAGGGTATAGGGGCTGACACTCCTAAACTGCCAGTTAGGATTACAACCTTAGGGGTCCGAGTATGACTGCTTGAGTAAGGGCTTGCACCGTTTCATCCGCCTCATGACCCCTAAACCGTAAACCCTAAACCCTAAAACCAAAACCCCAAATCCCTAAACCCTGAACCCTAAACCCTAAACCCTAAACCGCAAACCCCAAACCCCAAGCCCTAAACCCTTACTTCCGCCGCATGACCTTGACCTGCTGTTAGGATGGAATGTTATGTTCTGCGTCTGGGCAAGGACAGCACACCAACTTCGAGACACGTCTCAACAAAGCCATTCCTATATCTCCCTTGGCCATTGTTTACTTTTGTTTATATAAACCACAAGAGGATATTCACAAAAAAGGGGAGTATAGATTCAGTGAACTTACACTGTGCAGCATTCCTGTGGGAGCATTCCATGTCTCTGGCGGCCACACCTGCAAAGCACAAAGTGCTCTGCATCGTCAGCCTGCATGTCTTGGTGCTCGCCCTCGTACGAGGGGATGGCCCTGTGAGCTGCGCGGGCGGCTGGGCGTTGATAGGAGACAGGTGCTTCCACTACAGTGCTGAGGAACGAAATTACGACGATTCTGTCGCGTACTGCCATTCACTCGGGTCCGTGATTGCCAGCATCCACAGCGAAACGGAGAATGAGGCAGTGACCGGCTTGATTCCTACTGGAGACGGCAGATCTGCCTACATCGGGGCAGAAAGCAATGGCCACTGGGTAGCCCAGTGGTACCCCTTTTCCCTTTTTTGGTTCAAGGTTCCATTAAAAAGTAGCCAACCCCCAAAGGGATGCCCTCATAATGAGATGGTTACTGGGCTCCCAAGGCGCGCGTGTGTGGAGCTGGTATGATGGCACCGAATGGTGGCAGCCTGCAGTACATGGTGGTCTCGACGGTGTGAGCGAGATTCGCGTGGTCATCAATGACAAAGCGCGTGACGATCGGAAGTGGCATGACTGGCAAACCGGTGATGTCCCGCACGGAGTGCTTTGTGCTGCCTCCATTCGAAGCATTGTAACAGCGATTCCGCCCACAGCATGCTCTCCATTTTGTTGGAGCGGATGGTCTTTGATAGAGGAGAGGTGCTTCCTCTACAGTGATCAAGAACGCAGCTACAACGATTCCGTCACGTATTGCAGGTTACTCGGATCCGTGATTGCCAGCATCCACAGTGAAACTGAGAATGCCGCAGTGACCGCCATGATTCCAGTTGGAGTCGGCAAATCTGCCTACATTGGGGCAGAAAGCAATGGCGCCTTGGTAGCCCAGTGGTACCCCTTTTCCCTTTTTTGGTTCCCTAAACGGGTGCCCTTGGGTTACTTGGCTACCAAGGCGAGGGAGTGTGGAGCTGGCATGATGGCACCGAATGGTGGCAGCCTTTGGTACATGCTGGTCTCGACGGATGGAGCGAGACTCGCGTGGTCATCAATGACAAAGCGCGTGACGATCAGAAGTGGCATGACTGGCAAACCGGTGAAGACCTGCACGGAGTGCTTTGTGCTGCTTCACTGCAGACAGTTGTTTACTCACCGTCGCTCTGCCCAGCTGAATCGACTCCCGCTCCGGCAAGCAGCAGCGCTGCAGCAGCAGCACTGGGGCCGGCAGCAGCTGCGGCGATCCTTTCGCTGCAGCTGGCCCTCTGATCGACGCAGATACCTCATGCCCCTTGCGCAGACTAGGGGTTTAGGGTTTAGGGTTTAGGGTTTAGGGTTTAGGGTTTAGGGTTTAGGGTTTAGGGTTTAGGGTTTAGGGCTTAGGGTTTAGCGTTTCACTGCTATGGCTGCTGCAGATTTCCAAAGCAACAGTGCCCTAAACCCTCAACCCTCAACCCTCAACCCTAAACCCTAAACCCTAAACCCTAAACCCTAAACCCTAAACCCTAAACCCTAAACCCTAAACCCTAAACCCTAAACCCTAAACCCTAAACCCTAAACCCTAAACCCCAGCCCCTGGAGCTTTTTCGGACCCCAAACCTGCAGGGTTTGACCAAACACCGCTAAGCCCTTAAACCCTCAACTCCTGAACCCAAACCCTCCAAAGCCTTCAGCCGTAAACGCCCTAAACCCTAAACCCTAAGCCCTAAACCCTAAACCCTAAACCCTTTAACCCCTTAATATTAACCCTTTAACCCTTTGAATCCTAAACCCAGACCAACAAACACTGGGTCTTGGAGTACTATACTTTAGAGTTTTTCGGTTCTGGGTTCCTGTTACAGCTACGTATACCCCAAAAGTAGGACATTTTTTCAGGGTCTACTCCAAAGCAGGGAACAATACTCTTAACACAGCCCGAAGAGTTTAGGGTTTAGGGTTTAGGGTTAGGGTTTAGGGTTTAGGGTTTAGGGTTTAGGGTTTAGGGTTTAGGGTTTAGGGTTTAGGGTTTAGGGTTTAGGGTTTAGGGTTTAGGGTTTGGGTTTAGGGTTTAGGGCTTAGGGCTTAGGGTTTAGGGTTTAGGGTTTAGGGTTTAGGGTTTAGGGTTTAGGGTTTAGGGTTTAGGGTTGACCTAGAACCGCTCGTAAGAAAACGTTTTTGAGAATTTGTTTGACTTAAACGATGCAGCGGTGTCAAAGAGCCGACAATCCTACACCCAAAGCCCAAAGCCAACAAAAGCCAAGCAATCCCACCGAGAAAGCTTTAAACCCCAAACCCTAAACCCTAAACCCTGAACCCTGAACCCTAAACCCTAAACCCCAAACCCCAAACCCCAAACCCTGCTGCCGAGGCTCACCTGCTGCGTCTGGACATGACTGCGGATACATTCGAGGTGGGTTCAGGGATTCGGTTTCGGGTTTAAATAGAGTTTAGGGTTTATAGGGTTTAGGGTTTAGGGTTTCGGGCTTTAGGGGTGTTAGGTTTCGTTTGGGGTTGGAGTCTAGGTGCTTTGGCTAGACGCGTAGGGGTTTTGGTGTTGAGGGTTTTTGGTCTTTAGGGGTTTGAGGTTTAGGCTTTCGGGCTTGCTGGAGGCTTGGGGCTTAGGGCTTGCATGCCACTTGGGGCAGAACAGGTGGCCTTTGACACCTAACGTTTCGGGTTCAGGGTTCGGGGTTCAGGGTTCAGGGTTTGGGGTTTTGGGTCTAGGGTTTAGGGTTTAGGGTTTAGAGGGTTTACAGGGTTTCCAGGGTTTAAGGTTGAAGGTCTAGGGTGAAACCACACCATGGGACAGGTCATCGCCAAGCGCGCTGCTAGTGCCGGATTTCACGACTGGCAGGCTGTTCCGTGGAAGGGGCATCTATCTCAGGGTGGTCCCTACGCCCTAAACCCAAAACCCTAAACCCCCAGTACCGTAAAATCCTAAACCCTCAAAGACCTAAACCCTAAAACCCTAAACCCTAGTACCATAAAACCCTAAGCCCTAAAACCCTCAAAGACTCCGGACTTGTTTCAGCCCTTGCTGTGTGGGACAAGGGAATCCGCGTGCGCTCGATGCAGGGGCGAATCCAGAGCACCTCCTTAGCCCACGAACCCCCCCGAAGACCTCAACTCTTGACACAACCCTAAACCCTAAACCCTAAACCCTAAAACCTAAACCCTTTGACCTCATCAACCCTAAGGCCCAAACCCTAAACCCTAAATGCTTTTTAGGGATTAGGGTTCACAAGAGCCTCGGGGTTCGGGCCCTCAAATATTCGAGTGCCGCCTTCTTATAAATAGTAACCCCAAAAGGGACCATATTTTGAAGAAGTGGCCGCTCTAGACCCTAAACCCTAAACTAAACCCTGAACCCTGAACCCTGAACCCTAAACCCTAAACCCTAAACCCAAACCCCAACTGTAAGGCTCTTGGGCCTTTTTGGGCTTGCTACATGCTAGCTTGCGGGCTCCAATGGTTTGCTTAGGTTTAGAGTATTTGCGAGTGATGTAAGCTTTGGGATGTAGGGGTATGTCTACTATTTGCTTAAGAACCCCAGGAAAGCAATGCTGGTCTTCGGGTTTTATGGTTTATTTAGGGTTTAGGGTGTAGGGTTTAGGGTTTAGGGTTTAGGGTTTTTGGGATGCTACTAAGCCCAAAGCAGCTACTTTCCGCAAGAATCTGAGTCTGCAGACCTTCACCAGAAACCCAACTTGACTCCACGTAATTCCCCTCCCTAAACCCTAAACCCTAAACCCTAAACCCTAAACCCTAAACCCTGAAACATTGACCCCCAGATTCTGGGGCCCCAGCATGTGAGAGAGTCGGTGGCCAGGCTGGGGCCCAGGTGTTCGAGCCAGGCGGGGACGGAGCTTGAGGGGTTCAGTTCGGGGTTTGGGGTTGGGGGTTAGGGTGCAGGGCTTTTGGGCTTTAGGGTTTCGCTGGGCTTCGTGTCTCAGGGCGTTTCGGCTTAGTTGTTTGCCAGGGCCTTGGGGCGTTTAGGGAAGAGCTCGACTCAAACCCCGCCAGCCCTAGACCCAGGGCTTTCGACTTAGGACTTAAGGTTCAGGGTTTAGGGTTTAGGGTTTGGGGCTTGGGGCTTGGGGTTTAGGGTTTAGGGTTTAGGGTTGAGGGTTTAGGGTTTAGGGTTTGGGGTGTAGGGTTGCCAACGCTGTACCCTGACCTCACGAGGCGCCAGCCCCTGCTGCGCAACTCGCGGCTGGCCGGAGACAAGCGCAGACAAAAGCATGGCATGAGGGCTTGGGGTGTGGGGGGGTTTAGGGGTTTGGGGTTTAGGGTTTAGGGTTTGGGGTGTGGGGGGGATGAGGGTTTAGGGGTTGAGGGGTTGAGGTGTTGAGGGGTTGAGGGGTTGAGGGGTTGAGGGGTTGAGGGGTTTAGGGGTTTAGGGTTTAGGGTTTAGGCGGTTAGGGGGTTAGGGGGTTAGGGGGTTAGGGGGTTAGGGGGTTAGGGGGTTAGGGGGTTAGGGGGTTAGGGGGTTTGGGGGTTTGGGGGTTTGGGGTGTGGGGATGGGGGCTTGGTAGCCCAGTGGTGCCCTTTTCGCTTTTCTTTTTTGGTTCTAGGTTGCCTTATAAAGTCGCCAGCCCCAAAACGGGTGCCCTTATAATGAGATAATTGCTGGGCTACCAAGAGGGTTACGTAAGTTTGAAGATGACTATGAACTACGTGGTTGAATTGAAGAGCGTTTTTTTGTTCAGGTGTTGTTTAGGGGTTGGGGTTTAGAGTGCTCGTAGCCCTTGCAAGGCACCTTTTCATGCCGTTGGCGCAGGCTGGCTCAAGGCTTATGCAGACGCCAATCGTTGCCATTTTATTCAGTTTGGATCTCCGAAATTTGTAGGACGACCATAGGTTTTGACTCCAGGTTCCCGGGTAGTTGGAGAAGTAAACAGAAGACTATAGCCCCCTTAGGTTTTTTTTACTGCTATTTGTAGTAGAAGCCCAACGGAAATCGATAACTATTTTGTTTAAGGTTATAACGGGAGTCAAGGTCAGCTCTTCTCAAGAGCGCACCTCTCAAATCTCGGGTTTAGGGTTTAGGGTTTAGGGTTTAGGGTTTAGGGTTTAGGGTTTAGGACAAGCGAAGATGACCTTGGCCGCTGGATCTGCCTAGCTAGTTGCCATGAATGTGACATCGCTGATAGGGTCCGGCTGCCTTGCGTTATGGGGTTCAGGGTTGACGTCGTCCCTAAACCCTAAACCCTAAACCCTAAACCCTAAACCCTAAACCCTAAACCCTAAACCCTAAACCCTAAACCCTAAACCCTAAACCCTAAACCCTAAGCCCTAAGCCCTAAACCCTAAACCCTAAACCCTAAACCGCAAGCCAGGCGGTGCCATGCCCGTCTTTCAGGACGGAAGATCAAGAATAAGAATACCTATACTAGGGCCCCCCAACTACATTCTGGGGGAGGGGGGCTGCTTGCAATGGTCCCACATGAACGCAATGGTTCAGGGATAAGGGTTTAGGGCTTATGGGTTTGGGGTGACGGGTTTGAAGGGTCATAAGGTTTAACGGCTTAAAGGTACTGGGACTCGGCCGAATTCAGCGCAAAATCCTGAACCCTGAGCCCGACCCTCAACCCTAAACCCCAAACCCCACCCCGGAAGCCTCAACCCCTTGAAACCTTCAGACCTAGATCCCACCCTAAACCCTAAACCCTAAACCCGAAACCCGAAACCCGAAACCCCAAACCCGAAACCCGAAACCCGAAACCCGAAACCCGAAACCCGAAACCCGAAACTCTAAACCCTAAACCCTAAACCCTAAACCCTAAACCCTAAACCCCACCTTCCTTGGCCAGGCACCAGCCGCCAGTGACGCGATGTCTAATTCTGACGTCCGTGCTGTTGATGGTGGTGTGCCATGCGCGTTTTTGGGGTTTAGGGTTTAGGGTTTAGGGTTTGAGGGTCGAGGGGATCAGAGTTTCTTACAACCCCGGTCCGGATGAGCCTTGTTCATTTCTGAGGGTTTAGGAGTTTAGGGGTTTATGGGTTTAGGGTGTAGGGTTTGACCAATAGCTTCTGTGCATATAAGGAGACGTCTACTGTCCTTATCATGTTGGGCATCATGCCATCTTCATCATCATTGTTCTCATGTTACTACTGCCCACTTCATTGTTGATGCTGGTGTACATGTTCTTGATCTTGATGGTGTTTACCATGGTGATTATTTATTTCTATTACTGGTGTTTTTGATACTACCATTTCTAGAAGTACTGTTGCTGTTTGAATATTCTTATTGTTATGACCAGTGTTCTATGTGTGTTATTCATATGGTCATTGTGTTCTTACAGCTCCGCTTGCACTCTTCGTTGTCTTGTTCTTGCAAACCTAAACGTAAACCCTAAACCCTAAATTCCTACCCACCGCTCCCCTCCCCCCCTCCCCCCCCGGTTAGGCTGTTTGTTGACAGGTCTGCAGTCTCCGGCTGCAGCGGTCAGGGCTTTAGGGTTTTGTCCCTAAACCGCAAACCTTGCATCCTGATTCCTAAACGCCAGTTAGACCCCCAAGCCTATAAACCCCAAACCCGCATCCCCAAACTCTAAACCCCAAACCCTCAACCCCAAACCCTAAGCCCCAAACCCCCCCACCATATCAGCCCCGCATGCGGAAGTTCGCAGATTCGGGGCTTCCGGAACCCCGCGACCGATGCCCTAAACTGTCAACCATTCGGGTTTAGGGTTTAGGGTTTAGGGTTTAGGGTTTAGGGTTTAGGGTTTAGGGTTTAGGGTTTAGGGTTTAGGGCTTTACCCCAAACCCTCCACCCCAAACCCCCTGGCCGCAAGCCGCAACGCCAGCTCTGCTCCCTGGACGTGATCTCGCCCTTCACTTTGCACCCCTGGGCAGGAGGAGCCGTTACAAAGGGTGTAGGGTTTAGGGTTTGGGGTTTAGGGTTTAGGGGTTAGGGGTTTGGGGTTTAGGGTTTAGGGTTTAGGGTTTGGGGTTTAGGGTTTAGGGGTTAGGGGTTTGGGGTTGTTGAGGGTTTGGGGTTTAGGTGCTTCCCGAAACTTCACGCCGGGTTTACGGTGTAGGGTTGGGATGTTCACCTTATACTAACAGTCCTCAATCGGGGTTCTACTACCCCATATTACAATGCTTATTGCGGACTGTTAGTATGAAGGGGAACAAACATCCCCAGTGTAGGTCCCCTCCTTTTCAGGGCGAACCCTACACCCTAAACCCTGAACCCTGAACCCTAAACCCTAAACCCTGAGAGTTCAGGATTTCGGGTTCTTTTTCTCCTTCCGGCTCCGCTTCCGGTGCTTACGGAGATAGCAGCAGGGACCACAAAGCCTAGGTAGCCCCAACAAACCCCCAGGAGTCCCTTGCTTCTAACCCTAAACCCTAAACCCTAAACCCTAAACCCTAAACCCTAAACCCTAAACCCTAAACCCTAAACCCTAAACCCTAAACCCTACAAACCCCAGGGTTCTCTCCTGTAGTCCATCCGACACCAGGTACCTCAACTGGCAGCTCATCATCTACGAGCTTCAGCTCTGGAGGTTGAGAATGCTTTCCCCCCAAAGGGTTTAGGGTTTAGGGTTTTAGGGTTTAGGGTTTAGGGTTAGGGTTTAGGGTTTAGGGTTTAGGGTTTAGGGTTTAGGGTTTAGGGTCTTGGGTCTTGGGCTTTGGGTTCTGGGTAATTATAGGGTTTAGGGTTTTGCGGTCTCGAGCGGTCTTGAAGTTTTTTGGGGTTTGGTTGACGGTTCAGATTCTAGGGCTTTAGGCTTCTTTGCGCTTCCTTAAACCACAAGGAACCCTAAACCCTAAACCCTAAACCGTAAACCCTAAGCCCTAAGCCCAAGCCCTAAGCCCCAAGCCCCAAGCCCCAAGCCCCAGGCCCCAGGCCCCAAGCCCCAAGCCCCAAGCCCCAAACCAAAGATTTCTCAGCCCCGGCACAGCTCCAGTTCCGCTTTCTTTCTCCTGGGACCTGTGGTTTGGGAGGTTTAGGGTTTAGGGTTCAGGGTTCAGGGTTGGGGTTTCGGGTTTAGGGTTTAGGGTTTAGGGTTTAGGGTTATACTAACTACTATAGTCCCTATTAAGGACTCTTAGTATAAGGAGTGAACATCCCCACTTGTGGTACCCTTTTCTTAGTCTTTCCTTTTGGGGATCAGGTTTCCTTAGGCCCTTATTCTCAAGCCCCACAACCACTCTAACTTCAACATCCCCCGATGGACGGAACATGCTAAACCTGATCCCCTAGCGCTAAACCCTAACCCTAAACCCTAAACCCTGAACCTTAAACCCTGAACCCTAAACCCTCGGGACGATTTAGAGGTGGGAGGGGGGGGGGGGGGGGTTGGGTTTTCTAGATGTTTTCCGAGGGTTCCGGCTGCCAGGCATCGAAAATATCCCTAGATGCCCTAGAGGCCCTGATGCCCTGTCTCTAAGCGCCACCTAGAGGGTTTAGGGTTTAGGGCTTAGGGTTTAGGGTTTAGGGTTTAGGGTTTAGGGTTGAGGGTTGAGGGTTGAGGGCTCTTTATAGTAAGAATTTGTGGCCTCGTTGCATCAAGGCATCCCACACCCTGAAGCCTATAGTCTAGATTCGCGCAGGGGGCTCGTCCCCATACCCCAAGGGGTGGAAGCTGAACGATGCGAAGTCATGGCCTAAACACTATAGTTAAACCTTAGACTCTGAACCCTCGTAAACCCTAAACCCTAAACCCTAAACCCTAAACCCTAAACCCTCAACCCTCAACCCTCAACCCTCAACCCTCAACCCTCAACCCTAAACCCTAAACCCTAAACCCTAAACCCTAAACCCTAAACCCTAAGCCAGGCTCGTGACCTGCTTCCTCTTCTTTGGCAACTTTAGCCTGCAATTCTGCTGGAACACGTACGTGCTGGCGGCTCTGGCTTGGTAAGCCCTAAGCCCTACGCCCTAAGCCCTAAACCCTAAACCCTAAGCCCTAAACCCTAAACCCTAAACCCCAAACCCTAAGCACTAAACCCTAAACCCTGACCCCCCCCCCCCCTGCCCTTTTTTGGGGGGTTTCTCAGGGCTGAAGAGGCTTTGGGGGGGTTGCAGGATTCGGAGCCACCAGCCGGGAGCAGAGTGTAGCTTGAGGTGCAAGGTTCACCCAGGGGTTGAGGTTAGGGTGTAGGGTCTAGGGTTTAGGGTTTAGTGTGTGAGGTGCAGGGTTAGGTGAGATTCTGAGCTTCTGCCAGGTCTTCTACTGTTCCTCCCTTGAAGAGATTGCCTTCCATCGGAAGTCGGCGGACTTCTTGTGGATGCTGGTGTGTGGCGCAGGCGCCTTGAATTTGGGGTTTATGGCTGGGGTGGTCCCGAATTCCTTGAGTCTCCCTGCACCTACCCACACCTTACTTCTCAACACCCTGAGACCCCTTAAGCCCCTTAAGCCCCTTAAGCCCCTTAAGCCCCCAAACCCTAAAGCCCTGTAAACCCTAAGCCCTAAATTGCTAACCCTGAAGCCTTGAAAGCGCAGCCCAGAAACTACGAACTACAGCAGGGTATATCTAAGGTTAGCTACACGGTCCCTTAATCTGGGCCCTGAAAGAGGGACTCCTTATATACCCATGATATACCCTAAACCCTAAACCCCAAACCCCAAACCCTAAACCCGAAACCCTAAACCCTAAACCCTAAACCCTAAACCCTAAACCCTAAACCCTAAACCCTAAACCCTAAACCCTAAACCCTAAACCCTAAACCCTAAACCCTAAACCCTACAGAACTGAAGGGCCCATACTTCAGAACCCCTTGAGGGAGGTAAGGGACCATACGAAGGGCCCATGTCGCTACCCTTAGAGTATAAGGGCTTAGCGACAGTTAGGGTTTAGGGTTTAGAGTTTTTAGAGTTTATAGGGTTTAGGGTTTAGGGCTTGGGGGCGTAGTAAGCCCGAAGCCCTGAACGAGACCCTCAGCCGTAAACCTTAGTAGCGTTTAGGGTTGAGGCGTTCAGCGACGACAAGCACAAGCCTAAACTCCGAAATCCCAGTGCTCATCCCGGCAATCCCAAAACCAATTCTTAGGGTTTAGGGTTTCGGGTTTAGGGTACAGCGCGTGCTTCTGGGTCTGCTTTCGGGAGGCATGCTCCTGGTCCTCACGTACTTCTTCGGGAACACGTGCTTCGCAGATGAGGGTGGATTGCAGGGTTGTGGGGGCTACCCCCCCGAAGCCCTTAGCCAAACCCCAATCCCGGACCCGAACTCCTAAAGTGGCCCTGGTGATATCATCTCCCTCTCTGTCTCGCTCGCTCTCTCTCTCTCCCTCTCCCTCTCTCTCTCTCTCTCCCTCTGGCTCGCTCTCTCGCTCTCTTTCGGGTCAGGTGTCCGAAAAAATCCCTTTACTTTCCACAAAAGGGTGCTGCACTCATTTGTATTCCCAGGTTGCTCTGGGATCTAGCTGGCGCTTAGGTTTACAGGGTTCACGGTTTAGGGTTTTAGTAGTGTTCAGGAGTTTTCGGCTGACAAGGGTTTAGGGTTGAGAGTTTAGGGTTTAATTGGGGTTAGGGTTTAGGGCTTAGGGCTTAGGGCTTAGGGTTTAGGGTTTAGGGTTTAGGATTTAGGGTTTAGGGTTTAGGGTTTAGGGAGTTTAGGTTTTAGGGTTCCGGGTTAAGCGTTGACCGAGGGCCCTCAACAGGTACTTTGTCAGCGGGGCCATGATTGACCTCATGACCTACATCTGGGGTCGGCGGAACTCAGCTGCCAGAATGCAGGCTTCCGGGCGTTTCAAGGGAGGGGGTTTAGGGTTAGGGTTTAGGGTTTAGGGTTTAGGGTTTAGGGTTTAGGGTTTAGGGTTTAGGGTTTAGGGTGTAGGGTGTAGGGTGTAGGGTTTAGGGTTTAGGGTTTAGGGTTTAGGGTTTAGAGTTCTGGGGTTCAGGGTGAGGGTTCTCTAAATTAGGGTCCCTTTTTGGGTACTGTATGTAGTACGCCACCCGCAAAGAAATGACCGCACAAGGACCATAATTTGGAGAACTACCCAAATGTTGAAGATGGTTCTCTCTCGTTTTGCAAAGTCTGAGATGGGGTCAGAAGTCGGCTGATGTTACGTTCCAGGGCACCCAGCTAGCTGATTGCGCGAGCCCGCTTGCGACACTCATACAGCTTTACTGTCCCTCTGGAGTGTGCCTGCTCATGTTCTGTTGCTGTTGCCTTAGCTCAGACGGAGCTATATCTGAACCAAACTCTAGACTCTGAACTCCAAAATCTCATCTCTTAGGCCTTCTGGCCAAAAGCCTTGGTAAGCCCGAAACCCCAAATTAAACCCCACAACCCAGAAACCGCAAGCCTCTGAAGGCCCTCGGTGAGGTAATCCCAAGCCTCACCCCAAACCCTGAACCCCAAATACCCCAAACCCTAAACCCCAAAGCCCAAACCCACGAAGAACCAGAGTCTCAGATACCCCGGGGCTATAGAGTCTTCCGTCAGTCTATTAGGATCGGAGTAGAAAGCTCCAAGCCCTAAACCCTTTACCCGAAACCCTCCTCGTAAAACTAAGCGTCCAAGTCTGGGCCCTTAATTTGGGTCCTTGTATATACATAATAGGGGCCATACTTCGTCTGGATCCCTATAAGTAAGGGTTAGGGGACCATTCTAGCAGCCCATGGTACCGTCCTTACAAATCCGAAGCCCTAAACCCCCAAACACAAACCCTAAACCCCAAAGCCTAAACCCTAAACCCTAAACCCCAAAGCCTAAACCCTAAACCCTAAACCCCAAACCCCAAACCCTAAACCCCAAACCCTAAACCCTTAACCCCAAACCCTGAACCCCAAACCCCAAACCCCAAACCCCAAGCCCTAAACTAAAGTCTCCGGGAAGGTGTTCTTCTTCAACTTCCGAGCGCCCTACCTGCCTTGGGTGGGGGCCCACAGCTCTCGGCTTGATAGGGTTTAGGGTTTGGGGTTTGGGGTTTGGGGTTTGGGGTTTGGGGTTTGGGGTTTGGGGTTTGGGGTTTGGGTTTAGGGTTTTGGGGTTTAGGGTTTAGGGTTTGGGGTTTAGGGTTTGGGGTTTAGGGTTTGGGGTTTGGGGTTTAGGGTTTGGGGTTTAGGGTTTGTGGTTTAGGGTTTGGGTTTGGGGGTTTAGGGCTTCGGATTTGTAAGGACGGTACCATGGGCCCTTAGGGGGTTTAGGGTTTCGGGTTTGGGGTTTAGGGTTTAGGGTTTGGGTTTAGGGTTTGGGGCGTGGGGCGTTCATCGGGTTAGGGGTTTGGTGTTCTATTGCTTCGTCTTTTTTTGCCCAGGGTTTGGGGGTTTGGGGTTTGGGGGCCTTTAAGTTTGGGAGTTGGAGTTTAGGGGTTAGGGCTGGTCTTCGGGGGGTTGGGTTTGGGGTCTCATGATATCGGGCTCAGGTACGTTTGCCTTATTTTTTCGAACAGGTTCTGCAATCGGGCTTTTGAAGTTGGGAACAGGTCTTTCTATTGGAGTCCCTGCGGTGAACCATTAAGGATGGCCCAGGGTTTTGGGGTGGAAGGTAGGGTTTAGGGTTTAGGGCTTAGGGTTTAGGCTTTAGGGTTTGGGGTTTGGGGTTTAGGGTTTAGGGTTTAGGGTTTATGGTTTGGGGTTTGGGGTTTGTGGTTGATTGGGTAGAAGCTGAGGTGCTGGCGTGGATTTCGCTGCTAATGGGCGGGAGCGTTCAGGACTTTTGCGGATGATCTCCGTCCACCATGAAGTCCTGTTATACCCTAAGCCCAAAACCCGAAACCCCAAGCTCTAATTCCCAAACCCTAAACCCAAGCCCTAAACCCTAAACCAAGCCCTAAACCCTAAACCCTAAACCCTAAACCCTAAACCCTAAACCCCAAACCACTAAACCAAGCCCTGAAACCTCAAACCCTAAACCCTAAACCCCAACCCCAACCCTTCAATTCTAGAGTCCCCACTCATACAATTTGATGATCTCCATATGTGGGTTTCCGAAAATCAGGGTACCCTTTAGGGTCTGGGGTTTTGGGTTAGGGCCTGAATCGGCCATGTCTCGATTACCTTGATTTCTCAACGAAGTTTTCATGACTCTGGGGAGGGGGTGGGGGGTGTTTCCAGGATTTGCAAAGCTTGTTGCCTCTATGCGGGGGCTTCCGATTATAGGGGTCCCCCATCATACCCCAAATAGAATAGAATCCCCGTAAAAGGACCCCCAAAACCGTAAACCCTAAGCCCCTAACCCCTAAACCAAGTCCTTAAACCTATTGTTAAGGGCTTAAACACACCGCGGACGGGCATCCGCAACAATCAGAAAGTGTCGATCCGAAAACGCAGTTATGTCGCGCGAGTGCTGTGTATGATGCAGGTGCCTCTCATTACTCTCATGTTGCAAGTAAGGCGCTACCACATACATGAATGAAAGTGGTTCGCGAAGTTGTGAAACTATACAGCTTACTGGAGTTTACAGTCAAGTGGATAGATGGAGAATTTGCATAGAAATACACGCACATGCACATGTGCCATCTCGCTCTCGCTCAGTCTCTCGCTCTCTCTCCCTCTCTCTCTCTTTCTCTCCCTCTCTCTGTCTCTCCCTCTATCTCTCCCTCTGTCTTGGCATGCTTCCTTTATAGTATCTTTGTCCGTTTTGTTCAGCTTCGCTTCGTCGTCTGTTAGACAAATGGAATGACAGCACGTAAATCACAAACGAACAACAAGCAGTCAAGCCAAGGACCATTTGTTACCTCCTAGTCCTTTGTAGTCAAAAAAGGGACTTGGGCACCTCAAACCCCTCATATAAACGCTTGAAGGGTTTAGGGTTTAGGGTTTAGGGATACCTAACTCCGTCATTCCCGGCTAAGACCTGGTAGCAGGAACCAAGGCCAGAGAGCGAGCAAAGCAAACAAAGGCTTGGTGCGGCATTACTCGGCGGGCCTGGTAGGGGAGGGGGGGGGGAGGGGTGGGGGTGGGGCGGGGGGGTGTGGGGGCGTGTGGGGGGGAGGGGGGTAGAGGGTTGAGGGGGGTTAGGGCAGGTAGACGGGGGGAGGGGGGGAGGGTTTGAGCTTCAACCATTATAATTAGGTGAGCTATAGAAACCTCAACCCTGCACCGCTGGTCGAGGCATTTTAAGACCCGCCGCCATCATTCGCGGACTGAAATCAGACAAGCAAGCGCCTACGCGCGCCCCAACCAACAGCACGCAGGGCATGGGAAAAAAAAAACAACTCCACACCCTACATCCCAGAACGATGGCGGCCCATTGGGTTTATTATCGCAGAGCTTACGAGGCATGGATGTAGAGCCCACACCCCCAGAGAGAGAAGAGAAGCTGCGCACCCGCACACGTTTTCTCACACATTTGGGTTTAGGGTCCACAGTCCAGGGTTTAGAGTTTGGGGTCTAAAGCCTTGAGCAGTTCGGCGCTGCATTGGCAGGACCACCTCATGGGTATCGCTGTGGGGCACACGTACTACTTCTTCGAGGACGCTTTTCCCCCCAAGCCCTTCTTGTGAGGCGGTTCAGAAGTTTGGGAACAATGAAGCCTAAACGCTTCATTCAAGGTCTTCAGGACACGGTGAAGCACTCTCACGGTTTCGCAGGCTAAGCCCAAAGCCCTGAACCCTAAACCCTGAACCCTTTAAACCCAAACCCCTAAACCCTAAACCCTAAACCCTAAACCCCAAACCCCAAACCCCAAACCCCAAACCCTAGCAACCCTAACCTGCTCGGTCGCAAGAATCAGACTCCGCCAAGCCCTGAAAAGGGAAGACCGCAAGGCTCCCAATTCGCAAGGCCTTCAAACCCAAAGAGTCCCCACTTGGGGTTTTGGGTTTAGGGTTTAGGGTTTAGGGTTTAGGGTTTAGGGTTTAGGGTTTAGGGTTTGGGGTTTCGGGTTTAGGGTTTAGGGCTTAGGGTTTAGGTTTATACGGTTCAAGGTTTTGGATTACATGGTTTAGGGCTTGGGGGAAAGCCAGGGTGTAAGGGGACAATGATCCAACGGTTTAGGGTTTAGGGTTTAGGGTTTAGGGTCCCCTTCAGCAGCCAGCAGGACGTCTACCCACTCCTCCCGACGTCCAAAGGCTTCAAGGTCTTCCGAACGCCCCGCCTGCTGAAGCTCGCGGGGGGCCTTCCAGAAGAGTGTCTGGGGTTTAGGGTTTAGGGTTTGGGGTTTAGGGTTTCGGGTTTGGGGTTTAGGGTTGGGGTTTAGGGTTTAGGGTTTAGGGGTTGGGGTTTAGGGAGCTGCGTTTAAACGGTGTAAAGAGAGAGAGAGAGAGAGAGAGAGAGAGAGAGAGAGAGAAAGAGAGAGAGAGGGAGAGGGAGGGAGGGAGGGAGGGAGGGGGGGAGGGGGAGAGAAGCAGCGGCTTTAAGAGCTTCCCGCTTTCAGCCTAAACCCTAAACCCTAAACCCTAAACCCTAAACCCTAAACCCTAAACCCTAAACCCTAAACCCTAGGATGCCCTTCGCTCCGAGGTCTGCAACCAGTCTGACTAGCATGCTCCAGCTGAGTGCGCACGCAGGTCTGGTAGCAATGTTCTACGGGGTTGAGGGTTTAGGGTTTAGGGTTTGGAGGTTGATTGGGCTTTGAGCCGTTCGGGGCCGTACCCTTAAATCCGAAAAGCCTCACAAATCCCAATCGCCTGGCCGTGGTGTATGGTTTAGGGTTTAAGGTTTAGGGTGTATGGTTTAGGGTTTAGGGTTTAGGGTCTAGCGATCCTATGCTGGCTAGGGGGAGCGTGGGGGCCGGCCGGCCGGGACAGAACACAGCCTGGCTTGGCCCCTTCGCAAAATCGCTGGAGGGTTTAGGATTCAGGGCTCAGGGTTTGTGGCTGCAAGAAGTGCTCTGGAGGTTCCCAGGCGATGGCGTTTGGGCTTGGCGTTTGAGATTTAAGCCCTTGGCTTGTGGTGGAACCCTGAGCCCCGAAGACCCTTAAGCCCTAAATACCTAAACCCAAACCCTCACCCCCGAAACATTTCCTAAAGCCTTAAACTCCTAAACCACTAAACGCCCAAACGCTAAACCTTGCACCCTCAACCCTGAACCTTCCAGCAGCATCCTCTTAGTTGAGAGACCCGCGTGCAGCGGAAATCTGCAGTGCTGCGAAAATCTGAGGGTTTAGGATTTAGACTTCAATTTGAATTCATCAATTATCATGTATCTCCGGTTCAAATTGCAGTTATATCATGGTTAAAGCACATTGATAAGAGATTAAAAATATTAAAGGGGTTAGCGAAAGTCTGACACAAGAGAAAGGGTTCTAAACTCTGGACATCTCACCCGCAAAGCGCTGGAGCCTAAATTCTTGTAGCCAGAGGGTTTAGCGTTTGGGGTTTTCGCCGAACCCTAAACTCCAGCATCCCCGGCCAAGGGTAAAACTCCAAACCCTGAACCCTTACCTCGAAACTTAAGTCTAGACCCTAAACTCTACCAAACCTTCAACCTTAACCCCTAAGCCCTAACCCCTGAGGCTACACTCGGGGCCTACAAATTGATGGGTTTGGGATCGGGCTTGTGCAGGTAAGCCCCAAATTAGCCCTAGACTAAGCCCTTAACCCAAAAGCCCGAACCCTGTATACCTGGAACCCTATAATCCTGTTACCCTACACCCCACTACCCTATACCTGTATCACCCTATGGCCGTGTACCCGTATACCCTGTAACTCTATAACCCCATATTTTTCATTTTATGCCCCTTTCACCCCATACCCCTATAAACCCATAACTTTATCAACCCTATTTTCAACCCTATCACCCTACAACCCTATAACCCCAAACCCGAATCCCTGAACCCTGAAACTTGTAATCCCTGAGCGCTGCCTGCAGGTTTTTTGCTCTCAGGCTGCCGCGAGAAAACCGCGCCCGAGACATCTTGGTGAGTCAGCCCTCCCAATCGGGCTCTTTAGGATGTAGGGTTTAGGGTTTAGGGCCCCTCACCCCCCGAAGCTTCGACCTCTACAGTTTGGTCGTGGAGATACCTTGCAATGGCCCCCATGGAGGAGCTGGTCAAGAATGTTCCCAAGGGGAACTCCTCCACGAAGGACCCCAGCCCCTAGCCCCAGCCCTAAACCCTAAAGCCCTCAGCCACAAACCGCATTTGCTTGGGTATTAGGGGGTTAGGCCCTAAACCCTAAACCCTAAAGCCTGAACCACATAACGCCCTACATAGTCCCTTAAAGACAGGGATCCTCATTCCCGGATTCCCTACTAAGAGGAGGAAGTCCAGGGTTTGAGGGCCCCAGGATTGATTTAGGGTTTAGGGTCTAGGGTTTAGGGTTTAGGGTTTAGGGTTTAGGGTTTAAGGATACTGTTTAAGGTTTAAGGGTTTAAGGGTTTGGGGTTTATCGTCGACCAACAGGCCGCATAAACATAAAGATCCTATCACCCGGGATCTGCGCCCACCATCATCCAGCCTTTCCAGGAAGGAGCTATCCATCCATCTAATTACATGCGAGCATCGGCATCGTGTTAGTCTGTCGGGCTCATTTTAGGGGTATCATGACTGCACAGTGGGGATTCCGTAGGTGTCGTGCCTTACTTGCATCACCACTAGGCAGGGGATTCTTGGCGGGAAACATCTCGTAGGATCTTTATGTGGTAAGTAAAACACAAGCGAACACAATTTTGTAGGATCTTTATGTGGGTGCCAAAAACCAAGGGAACGCTGAAGGAAAACGCAAACCCACCTAAGGATCCCATAAAAAAACTCAGGATTCCGCAGCTGGTTTCTGCGCCTCTGGTGCCCTAAGATACGACCGCTCTGTAAGACTTCAGACTCTCTAGACTGCTGCTCCCTCTCCTGCAGCGCACCCATTCCAGCTAAGTGATAACGTTGCGGCAGGTGTGCTTGCAGAGATTGTCCTGGATACCTGCAAGATCTTTATGCGAAAATATCTTGGCCTGTCCAGTTTCTTCCCCAGTTTAGGGTTTAGGGCTTAGGGTTCTTCAGGGTTTAGGGTCATAGTTGTCTCGATCCTGCCCAGGACATTGAAGAATGGTCCAGTGAGGTGGATGAAGTCACTGCCCAGATTCGTGGCATCATCGATGGTGTCTCGGACGTCCCTTTGTCGAGGGTTCAGGGTTTGATGACAAGTCTATGAATTCTAGCTCTTGTACCAAGGACAATTTGCACTAGCCAACCTTCGAAACTTTTGCGAAGAATCCCAGGATTCAGGCACTTCCATAACGTGGTTGCAATGAAAACCGCATGACCAAACATTTCGGCTCAGTCCCTCGCTTGCGCCCTGCTTGCGTTCAACATGTCCGTCGTTTGACAATGACAATGCTTCGTTTGTTGTTGGTGAGTTTCATCACCACGGCTTCCTCGCTCAGGAGCAACGTGGAGGGCAACTTCTCAGCAGAGCTGGCACAGTACGGAGAGAGATGCAAGGGGCGTGAGGCCAAGAAGTGTGACAAAGGCTTGGTCTGTAGCCCAAAGACGTGGACCTGCAAAGCAGCCTTGATGGCTCCATGCAACGGTCCCGACTTGGACAAGATGGAGTGTGAGTCAGCGGCCTATGATCGCAGCATCAAGTGCGGCCGCGCCGACCGGGATGGAATCTCACGCTGCTGCATCAAAGGGAGCTCGCCTTTGCTTCCCTACAGCCAACAATCGAACCGCGCCCCTTATTATCAAGGAAGTGGTTATCTAGGTGACGACCGCTATTCATACGAGGACTGCTGCAGTGGGGTTGCCCAAGACAGAGTGAGGTCAGATCTGTTCACAACCAGCAGCCAAAATTTCCTGCTGTGTAAGTGACACCCCGGGCCATTCTGTTCGTGTTGTACTGAAGACTGACGACTGACCATCTCACCTTGTAGCCAGTCTGCATATGAGTCTGACCTCGATTTTGCTGAAAAGAGGAGGCCTAGGGTTTAAGGTTTGGCATTTGGCATCGGGCATGTAGGGTTTGGGGTTGAAGGGGTCGGGGCTAGTGTTTGGGGGGTTCAGAGGTTGGAACCCTAAACCCTAAACCCTAAACCCTAAACCCTAAACCCTAAACCCTAAACCCTAAACCCTAAACCCTAAACCCTAAACCCTAACCCCTAAACCCTAAACCCTAACGTTTGCAGCGGGGGGTTTTTGGGACTCTTGGTGTTGGGGGGCTTGTTACAGGGTTCCTGAGGGGGGTGGGGGGGGGGTGCAAGGGGGCATGTAACCCAAGGTTCTCTATCCTCCCATAAGCCCTAAGCCCTAAACCCTAAACCCGAATTAAACCCTAAACCCTAAACCCTAAACCCTGAACCCTGAACCCTGAACCCTGATACCTAAACCCTGAACACTGAACCCTGAACCCTGAGCTTCCTAAGCTTCCCTAAGGTTCCCTAGGTACCTACCCCCCCCCCCCCCCCCCCCCCCCCCCCCCCCCAATAAACCCCCGTCCAATTAGAACCCTCTAACAAGCTTCGGGGGTTGAAAGCGCTAAGGCCTGGAGGTCTCGGAGCCTGGGAGTTGGAAGTTTAGGGTTTAGGGTTTAGGGTTTAGGGTTTAGGCCCAGTTTAGGCTGTAGGCTTTAGTCGGCTGCAGAGTTCAGGCCTGCAACAGGTATCCGTGCGGATGTAGATGTTGGGGCCACGACTCTGCCTGAACTCCAAGGAACGTACGGCCACAGAGCCCCGCCAGGGTCTTCAGACTCCAAGCCCTACACCCGAAGCCCTAAACCCTAAACCCTAAACCCTAAACCCTAAGCCCGAAACCCTGAAGTGTACCCTCAAGCAGTCTGGGGTTCGAGGGCTTAGGAGTCTACACCCTACATCCTTCGTACTAAAACTTAAACCGTATACCCTAAACCCTAAACCCTAAACCCTAAACCCTAAACCCTAAACCCTAAACCCTAAACCCTAAACCCTAAACCCTAAACCCTAAACCCTAAACCCTAAACCCTAAACCCTCAAACCTAAACCCTAAACCCTAAACCCTAAACCCTAAACCCTAAACCCTAAACCCTAAACCCTAAACCCTAAACCCTAAACCCTAAACCCTAAACCCTAAACCCTAAACCCTAAACCCTAAACCCTAAACCCTAAACCCTAAACCAAACTCAACTAAGGTACCATCACGGATTTTGAAGCCTTCGACAAGCAGTTGGCCCTCAAGGCGCGTCTCTGGGTAGGGTGTAGGGTTTAGGGTTTAGGGTTTAGGGTTTAGGGTTTAGGGTTTGGGGTTTAGGGTTTAGGGTTTAGGGTCTGGGTACTTCAGTTGTACTGGCCTGCCCGAAAAGTTATCTGTTGTGGGTACCGCTTCACCTTCGAAGGTGTTTCATAGTGACAGCCTACAAGCGAGGTTTTGGGTTCTTATGGCCAGCTTCCATGCTTGAACTTAGTCAGAAAAGAGCAGCTCGCACTTTGGCGTCAAGGTGTCTATCCTAAGCCCCCAACCCTAGACTCGTACTAAAACCCTAAGTCCCAAAACCCTCAGCCATCAACCTACTTTTTGCTCATCCTTTTCCTCAGCTGCTTAAGTGATACCCTTTGGGTACAAGTTCCTTTCAAGGTC